TTGCTTTTACTTTTGCTGACATGGTAAAACTAGTTATTTTTAAATGTTGTACTTCAAAGATACATTCAAACTGTTAACAATAAAAGAACCAAGGATGGTGTCTACCTCCTATACTTGTTCCTTCAAAGAATTAGGTTTACAATCAAACTGCAATTGGACTTAAAGGTTTATTGCCCATTAGATACATTCAATCAGATTATGTTTCAAAAGTGGAAGAACATTTTGATTGTTTTCATTTATAGTGCCATATGTATGTGATTTTTAGAGTGTTGTAGTAATATGAGAAATATGATAATTAAAATGAGGCACACCTTAACCTTTATGCTAATGGACATATGCTGATGTAATTGGGATCAGATATCAGAGATATGCTGATGTAATTGAGATCAGATATAGAAGCAGATATCCCAAGGCATCCATAATAAGGTGTGTGGCATGATCTCAGTCCACATCATTGTTGCTAATAATGACATTGTGTTCCAGACACATATGATTACGTTCAGTTTAATTCGTGAAGTGTTTGAAAATAGGTTAATTACAGTTCCGTTGCTTTTCTTCTCTCTGTTTTAACATTGATTGAATTTCTACTGGCTGAAAAAAGGAATGATGCTGTGCTAGTCACAACAAAATACATGCTTATGGATGATAAAGTGCCTTTTTTAAAATGATTTTCTTCCATGTCTTAGCTTTCCTCTTTTGACAGTCATTATTAGGCAGTCATCAATAGCATATGCATAGAACTCAGGCTGGATAGTAGCACAGTATTGTATATGAACTGAACATGAAAAAGTATAGCTGGCCTCAAAAAAGAAGGTTTAGCAATATAAAAGAACTGTAGAATTATTAATTGTTTCCAAGCCATACCCTGAAATAGCTGTTATGTGAAGGTGCCTAGGCACACCTTTGCTTACAGAATCATAGCTTTATATCTGCAATATTAGATATAAAACATTGCTGTTTCTAAAGCTGGGTATACACGTATCGAAATTCAGCCAGTTCAGCAGGGACCAGCCAAATTTCGATCTGTGTGTAACTCCTGTCTTTTGAACAGAAGCCAGTCTTTAGATCAGCTTTTGTTGAACGGTCCTGCTGGAAAACCAGCATTCAATCAGTTGCTGTAACCAATGGCTGTAGTGCTGGTCAATGAATTCTGATAGAGGGAGTCCCTGCTGTCAGAATACAACAGTGCAGTGGGGGAGTTCCCTGCATCCATATCACTTGTGTAGATGCAGGAATATGTGAGGGGTTTTTTTCATTTAAAAAGCTGGTTGAACGGAAAATAATTTGAGTGAGTACCCAGCCCTGCTGCTAATCCCAGGAGATATGGAGCAAGATTTGGCGATGTCTCTACTGCTCAGCTCTCTGTTCTCCTGCTAAAGGCTGTGACACGAGGGAACAAAAGCCCTGAATCTACCAAGATAGCCACCTCCACAAAGAGCAAGGCATCATAACTTTGTATGCGGGGGAGACCTCAGGCAATGCTGGTGACAAGTATATTGCTCTCTGACTGCATTTTTTTGCCACAGCTTCCAGATTTCATAGAGTTCCTCTTTAATTAAACAAGGGTATTCATGGAATTCTATAAATAATCAATAAGGGAAGTGCTTAATATTATCTCTACTAATGTGAAATTAAACAATTTCATATGATCATAATCTTCATCAAAGTGCATACAATATATAAACAATTCATGGAAAAGTTCCCAGTGTGATTATGAAAGAATATTCTATGTGAAAAAATCTAATAAAATGAATTAATAAATCATTAAAATCTTCATTCATCGCCCAAGAGATGTGTTTGGATTTTTAAACCTTGACAAAGTGCTTGTGTGCATACCCTACAGCAGTCCACCATCATATTTGACCACCTAATCTGGAAGGTCTCAAAGTGCTTTAATATAAATCCACTGGACAGCTGCTTCCTTTAGCAGACAATAGATCAAATCTCAGGGATCAGGATCAATATAATATCAATATACCTGCATTCTAGAAAAGAATAAAACTCACAGCAGTGATATAACATAAAAGAATTTATTTTAAATAGTTTAAAATTAGTGCACCTTCATGACTGAAAACTCAACCAGCATTAAAAACCATATAGTTAGCTGATGTTTAGAAAAAATAGATTGTCCTGTCCCCCAAAGTCTGTCTGTATGCATCTGTATATGTAGTGATGCAGTGATTTTTTAATTATTTTTCCCATTCATGAAATTCATGATCTTCTGAAATTATTTGGATAAACAAGGTTTATTTCCATAGGATAAACAAGAATAACTGAGTGTTCAACATTAGATTGGATGAACCGTGATTGAAGTAAGCTTTTTTAATGCACATAATACACACACAAAAAAAAGTTCCAAGCTTAAGTAATGAGGGCCACACTCCCCTATATCTCTTTTATTGGCCCACATCTCTTTGTTATATTCATGTCTTTCTGTTTCCTAATAGCATTCTGAGTGCACTGTGTACACATTGGAGTTGACTTACTAAAGGCAAGTAGACTGTGCACTCCATAAGTGCAGTTGCTCTTTAATGAGGGGAAGCTCTGCTGACTTCCATCATCCAATCATGTGCAAGCAAAAATATTGGGTTTTTTTCAATTTCAATGCATGTGATTGGGTATTCTTTGCAAAGTAAATCTTTACCTCATTTACTAAGCTCTGGCGCAACTGCATTTGCAAAGTGCACAGTCTATTTATCTTTAAAAAATCAACCCCATTATCAATTCTTTGTAATACCAAGCATATGGTGATACAGCTGGGTGACAACAACTGCATTTAAGCTGCTAAGCAGCATTTTCCACATACAGCTAGTGATACTTGCACTGTCAAAAAATGGACAAAACACAACTTACCTAACAGGCTACACAATTCATAAATGTCTATTATTGACCTTTTAATCAACTTTTCTGGAGAGAATGACTAGTAAAAAGTCTAATACCTGATAGAAATAATACATCTTTGCCCACAAACAACATGTTTTTTGAGTGCAATGCTAACAGTAAAGCATTGAGAGCTTACTTTATTTTTAGGCAAACTTTTTTATTCATGGCTCATATCCACTCCATCATTCAAGATATGTGGAGTAACTAACATCTGCACACAATTCAAATATTTCAACACCTGTGGCTGCCAATTAGATGCAAAGAAATGTTTTCAATGAAATATATGTTTTCATAAACAGGATTGTTATTCTACACTTGCATTAGGTTTGTATTATGTGTCCATTTTAGATGTAAAATGTGCTTATTAGCAGCTAGTAATAAGGGCTTCTGATTTATGTGGGAATGTCCTACCTTTTTAGGATTCCTCTATGTGAGGCTTCCCTTGGGTTCCAAATTCTTCAGGGACACTTTCTGCATGGAGTCTGTTCAGAATGTAATTTCAGTGGAGGAAGATGAAAGAAAGAGAGCACAAACCTTGCAAATTACCTCAATAAATAGTGACTGATTTTATTAATAAGGAAATATACTCACAAAATGATTGTATAACAGGCATAAGTAACCATAATCCCAACAGGGTTACAGGTAAATCGAAAAGGGGAGGATGGATGAAGGCTAACGCGTTTCGAAGGGTGCTCCCTTCTTCATCAGAGCTGGGTTTGGCAGATAGAAACTTCAGTATGGCAGAGTTCCCATGGCAAGGAGATATTCAGCCACTGAGTGTCAGTATTACAGCAGTTCACTCATTTTGTGAGTATATTTCCTTATTAATAAAATCAGTCACTATTTATTGAGGTAATGCGCAAGGTTTGTGCGCTCTTTCTTTCATCTTCCTCTACAGTTTTATTAAGCTTCCCCAGCTTCATGATAGAGCTGCACAACCTCTGATCACCAGCGGATGAACACACAACACGCTGCTTGTCACTAACGCCTGTTTGATCTGAGTATTTGAGCGCAGGAGATAATGGATCTTTTGTAATTTCAGTGGAACAGGGTCTAACCATGGCTTAACTTCAATGTAAGTTTTGCTTTAAAGCCCTGTTAGTCCTTTATAATTTGTAGATTTTCCTAGTATTTAAGTGAGTTTCATCTGGGTACTCTGTTTTCTCACGCAATCCAAAAACATACAGTTGTGTTCAAAATAATAGCAGTCAGACATCACTAACCTGATCAATCACTGTTTTTGGTAGAAATGATATTTCTACATGGCAAAATAATTTACTAGCAGGAGTAGTAGAGTAATAGAAATCCAACAGACTCAACAGTCATGACATTTTTTTCTTCATGTTTTGATTTGGAATAGAATGTGTAATTTTCCCAATGCATTTGTGTGTATGGAAATAAAAGCTATTAGAAGGATTTTGAGCTTTATTCACTTTTTTTCAACACACTGCTATTATTTTGAACACAACTGTATTTGGTATTTTAAAAAAAAACCCTGCTCATGGTTAGAAATAGTGAACATGTGTCTGTAGCAGGTACAATGAATTTTAATTTCTTTAGAGAAAGTAATGGAGAAAAGCAAATGAATAAGAAAGATTGATATATATATATATATATTTTCACACTTCTAATAGTCATCCTTTCCATTTTTCAGGTTGCGAAAGGCACTGGAAACCTGCATTGCAAATTAAGTGTGCTGCAATCGTTAAGATACCTTATGGCACAAGACTGAGCTATTACTGCAAGCTATGGATAATCTATTGAAAGACAGAGCCTAGTGCTGCAATGACAATATAAATAGTCAGCAATACTTTATCTGTGTATATAACAGAAAAACCTCATGACAAAACAAACCCTTTTAAATTACACCTAGAGAGAAAGCAAAAATAAAGTGCCATAATAAAGGCAAATATCAATGAAGACCTGTAGCATTAAAAAGCTAAGAAATTGTTCCTGGTTTCAGGGGTCCAGCAATGCAGAGCATACTATTGCACTGCTGGGCCCCATGTATGTGCAACTTTTATAATTACAATTGGTAAAACCTTGATATATATATTCTAAGAACCTTGGAAAATAAAACATACCAGCTAAATGTAAAAAGGAACTGTACCAAAGCAATGTGTTCTGTCATGGGTGACGACCTTAATGATTCAGTTGCTACATGCTGGAAGACAGTACTATACAATGTTCTTATTGGAGTAGCTCTTGTTCTAATCATCATCATCACTATATGCGGCAACGTGATAGTTTGTTTGGCTGTGGGATTTGACCGAAGACTCCGTAGTTTGACAAACTGCTTTATTGTCTCCCTGGCTATAACAGACCTTTTGTTGGGTATTTTGGTGCTACCATTTTCAGCCTTGAACTTGTTACATGAAGAATGGCCTTTTGGATCTACCTTTTGCAACATTTACACCAGCTTGGATGTCATGTTATGTACAGCTTCCATTCTGAACCTCTTTATGATTAGTTTAGACCGCTACTATGGAGTCACAGCTCCTCTGCGCTACTCCATGCTTGTCACCCCAGGTCGTGTTGGCATAGCTATGGGTTTGATATGGGTAGTTTCTCTGATGGTCTCATTCCTTCCTATACATCTTGGGTGGAATACAAAAGATAAAACAATCCAAAACTCTAGAGGTGATGACAGCAAAGAATGCAAATTGGAGTTGAATAAGGAGTATGTATTAGTGGATGGTGTACTGACGTTCTACCTACCTTTAATCATCATGTGTCTTATGTACTATAGAATATTCAAGATTGCCAGAGAGCAAGCTAAAAGAATTAATCATGCCAGCTGCTGCAATGCCGTCAGTCCTACACTACCTACAGTTCGGGAGCATAAAGCTACTGTGACACTTGCAGCTGTGATGGGTGCGTTCATCATTTGCTGGTTTCCCTATTTCACTGTTTTCACTTATGAAGGAGTAAATGATATTGAAGTAGATGAAACTGCTTTCTTAATAGTACTGTGGTTAGGCTATGCAAACTCTGCTCTAAATCCAATTCTGTATGCTGCTTTGAATAGAGACTTCCGTACAGCTTACCAACGACTTCTACACTGTAGGCGTGTGGGCCCCTTAAGCCATGAGACCCCTCTAACCCTGCTCCATATACGCCGCTCAGAAGAAAGGACTCTACAGGTCATGGAAAACTTGCAGGGGGACAAGACACACAATATTCAAGAAAGCAATGGAAAAGAATTTAGCCCCTTCATCAAAAATGTAGCAGAAAGGTAATATATTTTAATTACTTTTGTCTATGCATATAGATAGAATTTTTTTATTTTGAAACCTACTATTCAGCTTCCTTAACCCTGCTATAATACCCTTTACCTATAGAAAGATAAAATATTAAAGATGCATTGTTGTAATGTTGCTCTTTCCCAAGCAACATTTTGCTGCATATGCAGGTTGATATACACCCTCTCTCTATTCCTCTTAGTGACCATCTTCACAGGGGACTCTAATAAGACCTCCCACACGAAAAAAATCAGAAACTAAAAATGAATACTAATAGATAGTAAAATCTCCACAAAAGTTCAAAATTACAGTTCAAACTCCATAAAAAAAGTGTAATCCCAATCTTCAGTGATAAATTATATAAGCACTCCAACATTATCTTTACAGTGTACACTGCACACCATGTGTACCTATTCTGCTCACCTTCATATATAGTCCTCCTTAAATAAAGCAGGTCTACAAATGCTTTTAGATAAAAGGGATTAGACTCCACCACTACTTTTCAGGCATAACTCATTATTGTGAGTATTTCAATAAATTGCAGCAGTGAGCACTATGGGTCCTCTTCTTCTCTTTTTTTAGTTTTGCCACTTATAAGGAGGAGGAGGTGTTTTGAACCCCTGTATTGTCATTTACTGGATGCATTGACCCACTAGAGAAGACAACCTTATATTTTATCTATATTATGTTGTTGGACCTCCTGTCACTAAATGGTAAGGTGAGTATATTTGACACACAGGGAGAGGTTTACTAAAACTTGTGCACTTAGAATCTGGTACAGCTGTGCATGGTAGCCAGTCAGCTTTGTACTTAAGCTTGTTTGATTACGCTTTGACAATAAAACCTGGAAGCTGATTGGTTTCCATGCACAGTTGCACCATATTTTGCAATCTCCAGCTTTAGTAATTTACCCCCATTGTGTGGAGATTGCTTACATATCATCACTGTTTTTGTGTGTAGAGGATTTTTGTGCAGGAATTTGGCTGATTGCACTATTTTTGGAGCACAATTTTTACATTATATGTGAGTGGATTTTCATATGTGTGAATGTTTGCTTAAGATCACAGTGAACACTATCATTTGTTTCTCCCTTCTTTGAGCTATTTTGGATATAAAGGAAGAGGTGGTGAAATTAAATCCTTCTATGTTTGAGGAAGACGTGTTTTTTAACCCCTGTGTTGTCATTCGATGGAAGTATTGACCTACTGGAGAAGACAACTTCTCATTATATCTCTGTGAAGTGTTATTTGACCTCCTTTCGTAAAGGGGTCTGTGTTGTACGGTGAGCAGGCTGATGCACTGTGTGGAGACTGTTTACATATCATCACTGATTTTGTATGAAAACACTTGGAATTATTATGAAGGAATTTGGTTAATTGCACTCAATTTTATAGAACTATTTTTACACTATATGTGAATGGATTCATATATGTGTGAGTATTTCTTTAACCTTTTCACGCTGGCCGCACACAAATGTGCAGCCTCCCGGCGTCTAGGCCTAGACACTGAGCGGCCACACATTTGTGTGCAATTAAGAAAAACATATGTGCTGAGAGCGCGCACCTCACGTACTCACAGAAGGGTCCCGATCTCCTCTTTTCGATCGGGACCTTTCCCGATCATGTGACCGCCGTGACGGCAAATCAAGGTGGTCACATGACCCTAAAACCCCGCCTCCCGGCTCCTGAAACCCTTAAAGGGCCATGAGGCGCTGGCGCCAAGGGGTTAAGATTGCAGTGAGCACTATGATTTGTATCACCCTTCTTTGAGCTATTCTTGATATAAAAGAAGAGGTGGTGAACTTTAATCCCTCCATGCCTGTGAGTTGTATCTGAGGAGGAGTGATGAAGTCTAATCCCCTATAGATACAGTACACACACTTTTAGACCTGATATAGGTAAGATTGTCTACGTTTGAAAGTGAGCAGAATAGGTACACAGGGTGTGCGGTGTACAATGTGAAAATGTTGCTGGAGTGCTTGTATAATTTATCTCTGATGATTGGGATTGCACTATTTTATGACATTTGGACTGTAACTTTGACCTTTTTTTGAGCTGAAGGACATTTATTGTCTATTATCTATTTTCAGTTTCTGAATTCCTATTAGAGTCCTCTTTGATATCTATTATATTATCACCATACTATATTCTTGCTTTTGTTTTCATATTATTGGTGTCAAACACATTTTGGTACTGGCTGGCCAACTTTTATATTTTATACATTGTTTTTTTTTTTTACAGGCATAATGGGACACACAGTATTTTTGTTATTTATTTACCATTGTCACAGGGACTGAAAAGGAGGGATGATCTGAAATGTTGAAATGTTGTCACAGAAACAGAAATAAAGAGGAAGTCTTCCAATGGGAATACTTGTTCCAGTGACAGTTTTCTAAGACAGCATGTCATTCAGTTTGGAGATTTTTCCTCTCATTTTATGATATGTGTACAGGACATGAAATTTCTTCAATGGGATACAAACTGCAAAAAAACTGACAAGCTTTAAACCATCACAAATTCAATCCAAAATGTAAAAATGTAAAGTTTTAACTTTAGATATACTTAAAGCTGGGTACACATGTATCGAAAGCCAGACGGTTCAGCAGTACTTTCGGTCCATGTGTGCTCTTCACTGTTCAAGAGAAACTGGTCCAATGACAGGCTTGAAAAGTCATGTTGAGAAAATCAGCAATCAATCAGTACTTGCAGCCAATGGCTGCAAGCACTGATCAGTGTATTCTTATGTGTGGGGCAGCACAGTGGCTAAATGGTTAGCACTTGTGCCTGGCAGTACTCGGGTCATTGGTTCAAATCCCGACCATGGCACCACCTGCCTGGAGTTTGCATGTTCTCCCTGTGACTGCGTGGGTTTCCTCCGGGTACTCCAGTTTCCTCCCACTCTCCAAAGACATGCTGGTAGGTGAATTGGATCCTGTCTAAATTGGCCCTAGTATGTGTATGTATGAATGTGAGTTAGGGACCTTAGATTGTACACTCCTCGAGGGTTAGGGACTGATGTGAATGTACAATATATACAGCGGGGATCGAAAGTTTGGGCACCCCAGCTTAAAATTTGTATTAATGTGCATAAAGAAGCCAAGGAAAGATGGAAAAATAGATTTTATTTCCATCATTTACACTTTCAAAATAACAGAAAACAAAAAAATGGTGTCTGCAAAAGTTTGGGCACCCTGCAGAATTTATAGCATGCACTGCCCCCTTTGCAAAGCTGAGACCTGCCAGTGTCATGGATTGTTCTCAATCATCGTCTGGGAAGACCAGGTGATGTCAATCTCAAAGGTTTTAAATGCCCAGACTCATCTGACCTTGCCCCAACAATCAGCACCATGGGTTCTTCTAAGCAGTTGTCTAGAAAACTGAAACTTAAAATAGTTGACGCTCGCAAAGCTGGAGAAGGCTATAAGAAGATAGCAAAGTGTTTTCAGATGTCAATATCCTCTGTTCGGAATGTAATTAAGAAATGGCAGTCATCAGGAACCGTGGAAGTTAAAGCAAGATCTGGAAGACCAAGAAAAATATCAGACAGAACAGCTCGCAGGATTGTGAGAAAAACAATTCAAAACCCACGTTTGACTTTACGATCCCTCCAGAAAGATCTGGCAGACACTGGAGTTGTGGTACACTATTCCACTATAAAGAGATACTTGTACAAATATGGTCTTCATGGAAGAGTCATCAGAAGAAAACCTCTTCTACGTCCTCACCACAAAAATCATCGTTTGAACTTTGCAAATGAACATATAGACAAGCCTGATGCATTTTGGAAACAAGTTCTGTGGACCGATGAGGTTAAAATTGAACTTTTTGTCCGGAATGAGCAAAGGTACGTTTGGAGAAGAAGGGGCACAGAATTTAATGAAAAGAACCTCTGTCCAACTGTTAACCTCCCTGGGGTATGATCAGATTTTTGGTGCTGAAAGCGGTACTTTTTTTTTGCATGGAAATATGTATTTTTTTTATTGTAGGCCAGTAATTTTTAGGAAAAACTCACTGAAATCTGTCCGAACAAGAGTCTAGTAAACATCCCGGGTAGGATAAAATTTGAAAACAAAATCATAAATTATAATTTAATAAATAATCAGCAAAATAATATAAAAATAATAAAAAATTTAATTCAATAATATAATCAAACCAAAAACACTGAAATGGTAACTTGATGCCATCTGTGAAAAAGCTGAAGTTAAAGAGAGGATGGCTTCATACAAATGGAAGTGGTTCTGATTTACTATCGCTGTTCTCTAGCTGATCTAAACCGCTTTTGACCTAAAGGGACACTTTTTGGACGCCATGGACATTTCTCAGTTTCCAGGCAGAAAGAACAGTAAAAATGCAGGCAGGGCGCAGGACAAAGCACTAGGGACATATGTATGTGAAATAGGTTGAAACAGCAATGTTTTACTGTGTAAAATGAAAAAAAAAAAAAATGACATTTTTTAAAATTTTTAAATTTCCCGCCGCCGGCGGCGGCGGCGCCCCGTAAACGTCCCGACGTCACAGGGACAGGACACAGAAGCCGGATGCCGGCATTGGCCGGACGAGATGGCCGGGGACGCTGCAGGGGACACATCGTGGGAGCAAGGGTAAGGTAAGTGAAGAACACATCCGGAGCACCGCAACATATTGAGTGTAGCTCGGGGTTACCGCTTTTGGTACTGAAATGTTACCCCCGAGCTACACTCGGGGAATACCGCCAAGGAGGTTAAGCATGGGGTTGGATCAATCATGCTTTTGGGTTGTGTTGCAGCCAGTGGCACAGGGAACATCTCACGAGCAGAAGGAAAAATGGATTCAATAAAATTTCAGCAAATTTTGGATGGTAACTTGATGCCATCTGTGAAAAAGCTGAAGTTAAAGAGAGGATGGCTTCTACAAATGGATAATGATCCTAAACACACCTCAAAATCAACGGGGGGATTACATCAAGAGGCGTAAACTGAAGGTTTTGCCATGGCCTTCACAATCTCCGGACCTCAACAT